GTAAACTTTAAGAAATAACTGACATACCTTCTAAAATATTTGTTAAGGCATAATGGAGAGTACAAATTTCTTCTCATACTTCAGAAGATTTATATTGATTTGTTATTAAGCAATGCTAATACCAACAATTTACCTCCTTGTGTCGGATTCCTTTTATCCTTTATTCAAATAATTAATGGTGACTCAGTTATATTAAAATTTGTATGAGTCAATGCCCATTTTGACTCATAAATTTGCTAAATATGCATTTTCTTTTGCAATTAGTAGATGTAAAATGATACCTTCCATCTCATTTTTATAACGAGTTTCTATGTGAATACCCATTGAGAGTAGCCCAGGGGGCATTGATGTCCGAGCAATGTGAGAGTTCGGAGAAGCCTCACATACTCTTACAGCTCACAAGACATGGACTCATGACATGGTTCTATTTTATGTGAAAACCATTGTGATGAATAAATTTTGAACGTAGTAAGCTTTGGTGACTTCTAGATGCATTTAGAGGTCACGAGTACAATTCTATTCATTTAGATATGAAATTTTTAGACAGTCTATCGCCTTAATCAATCATAATGAAAATCAGAATTAGTTCAATAGATAAATGTGCATTTGTTAGTTTATTGTGTACAACCATAATTAGTGAAAACACCTATTTGTTAGTGGTTATAATAATTTGCAAATGTTACTCATATATTTTAGAGTGCTATTATCTCAAGCAGAATGAGGTACATATCATTCTATTATTTTATGGATATACTCCTTTGTATACATTGGTATATGTACAAAATTTATAGATATGCCAGTGCATAAAAGTCTTATAACAAACTTTAAGACTCAAACTAAAAGTCTAATTAGAAGTTATAATGTTCATATTTATAAAACTCATGAAAGAGTTAAACTAAAAAATGGATAAATCCAACAATTAGAAAAAATTCTTATTTTCAACATAGGGGATAATCATAAATCTGAATTTAAAATTTAGTCTCTCTTAGTCTCATGTTATGAATTTCTTGCTCTTCAGAGATTCAGAGATTCTTTGTCGCTTCCGACCAATAGATGTACAACGAATGAATTTTACCCAATATTCATATCACTATACATATTTCTTTGAAGTTTCTTTATCCAAGGAGAATTCTTTGTGTGTCACTTTTTTGACACGTGCTAATACAATCATAACCTTATTAAGTGGTTTACTTTACTCTACTAGTTCATTAGTATAAGTGTAGCGATAGGTATAAAATTGAGACAAAATTGTTTTACCAAATGAACTTTTGTGATTAGTTTTCATACACATTTTTTTAGGCATAACATGTGCCCGACATGCATTGATATTTTTGTATTTAATCAAGTAAAATTGATTGCAGTAATCAGTAATTGAGATACAATGTGTTATAAATTATTGGGGGAAAAAAATATTATATGACATTCCACTTTCCTTTTTCTTTGAACGAAGAGGAATATAGTGATTCCAACATTAGAAAGCTGAAAATGATACTCATGTTCTGTTGCCCAAAACGTTACAGTCGAATTGAGTTGGACAAGCAAACCTTAATTAAAATATACAATTATGAGTATATCAGAATTATTTCCTTCCAAAGAATGGAATATATTCTCAAAAAAAAATATAAAGGCTAATTGCCATCCTTTGGATAAAAACGTGGAATAGATTCTAAAGTCAAAAACTTATAATGGTGTCAGAATTACTTGAATACAATAAATTGGCATGAAAATAAATTGGCATGAAAATCTACAACGCACAAGATAGGAATGTTCATTATTTTGGCTTTTAACAAACACTAGTGCTTGTGCTAATGTGGGCTTTCACCAATTATAATTTTTATTATTAAAAGAATTATAAGCAATAATTCTGATTGGTGTGACTTATAAGCATATATATATATATGCAATAAAACATTTAATATGCACAAAATGTTATATGATGAGCATTTTGAGGGATATGTATAGTGATGATAGATGATAAACAAGCAAGACAACGTGCAAGATAATGCCACTAATTATATACGGAGTGTAAATTGTTAATAATTAAAATTGTAAAATAGGTACACATCATACGTATATCATCACAAATAATGAATAAAACAGCACATAATTGACATACCTGGGACCCTCTGCATGTGGGAATTGAAATGGGATGCACTTGTAATTTCAATTGGGGCCCTCCACGTATATTTGTCCATCCTTGTCGATCGATCAACTTACCTCCGACTGAATGGAAACAACCAGCGTCACCGACACCATCAGACAAGGTGATGGATGGCGCCGCTTGTTCGCGGTCGCTTGTTTGCAACAGCTTCCTTCAAGCTGCGGCTTCGTTAGTGGCGAGATGGTGATTCCGCTTTTGAGGGGAATGATTGAATCGGCTGGCTCTTTGCTAGTAGCAGGGGCAGCGGCGGCTGAATAGGGACGTCAATCTGCCAAATTTGGCTGAGGGAAATGTGCACCGGACTCCAGCAAGTGACTCTCCAGCGGCTGCTTTGACAAGGGTGGCGGAAATTCGGCAATTGAGGCTGGTGGCCGGTGGCCATAAGCCTGCTGTAATTAATGTGCGCAGCAACAGATCCGGCGGGAGACATCTTTAAGCGATGGATCCGACAGGCGGCATTTTTGGATCCGGCAGGGCGGCGGCGAGAGACTAAGTGCGACTAAGAGGGGGCATCCGAATGAGGACGGCGGCTAATAGAGGGGGGCGACCGGCTGGTTGGGACAATGATGGCCATGAGCATCAGACTAGCGGTCAGTGAGCTTCATGGGAGGGGATGAATTTAGCGACGGTAAATAAAGTGATGATTCTTTGAACGCCGTAGCATGAGGCCATACAAGGGAGCCATTAATGGAGGTGAGATGGAGGTCTTTGCTGGTAGCAGCGGCTGAGGGAGGTAGATGTTAGAGTTCTCGTGCTGCTGATAACGTGTTGTAGGGAGAATTGAGCGTATAGTTTCATTATCAAAGGCCCTATAAATAGGGAGGTATTAGGGTTTACAGAGACGGGCCAATGGACCCATAATACATAGTTTACATAGAATGATCCTAATACATATTCTATATACACGATAGCACACTACATAGAATTTCCTTCAACACAACAAGCATTTTTGCTCAAAATTATCTTCATTTGTATATTATCTTCGTTCACACTATTTACATAAATTCTTTGGCTTCATGTTTTTATAGGTGTTATAAAAAAGTGATACGGAGTATTTACCAGTATAATTTTGAAACATGTTTTTTTTAATGATCAAAGTTGAGGGATAGCAGACGACAAAGAAAAACTATTTAGAAATTACTTCAAATAGGACTAAAACTATGACAAAAACTCAAAATAGGACTTGCTATGTTTTTTATTCCAAAATAGGACCATAGTGGTCCTATTGGAAACATACTCATTTCTTCCTTCCATTCTTACCCCTCCTTTAAATATTAGTAAAAGATAGTTAAAAGTCATAATTAAATGTTTAATTCATAATAAATTCGAAAAAATTTCAATAATTCGTAGAAAAATAATAGAAAAATTAATAAAATTTTTATAAAATAAAAAATAAGAAAAAAAAATTTAATTTTTTTTTTGAAAATTAATAAAAAAATAGTAAAACTCCATAAAAAAAATTAAAAAAAAATATGGATACCTTTCCCACCGCCTGTACTACCTCCCTGAACCACCACCTCCGATCGGTGTAAAAAATGCCACTTTTTTTTTAAATTCCACAAAAATGGCATATTTCTCTATGAGAATGCCAACATTTTCATTCTGTCAACTTGAATCCTTTTGACTTTTGCCAAAAATATGGCATTCATAATTTTTTTGGCATTTTTTTACCCCGATGACAGGAGGTGGTGGTACCGCCTCCCTGCACCACCACCTCCGACCGTTAAAAAAAAATGTCATATTTCCTACAAACTTCCATTTTTTTCGGAAAATGCTAAAAATATGGCATATTTCTCTTTGCGAATGCCAACATTTTTTTTCTTCCATCTTAAATCATTCTGAATTATGCCAAAAATATGGAATTCATAATAAATTTGGCATTTTTTTCCCTAAATGACTAGAGGTGGTGCTGGGGCGGTATAGGCGGCGGTGACAAAAAAAATATTTTTTTGATTTTTTTTTTAATTTTTATTTTTTTAATTTTTTTTTTAAATTTATTATTATTCAAAATATTTTTATTAATTTTTTGGTATATTTTACGAATTTTTATTATTTTTTATTATTTTATTATGAATTAAAACATTCCAATAGGTATAAGGGTATATTTGTCCAAGACAAACATAATTAGTCCTATGGAAACATAGTTTATTTTTTGGTCCTATTTGTGCAAAGTGAATGACTTTTAGTCCTATTTTGATAATTAACTCAAAACTATTTCAATCAAATAAAGATGTTTTGAATTGGATTTAATTATTTTATCTGCTCTAGTCGGGTTTAATTTAATTGCTTAAGTGACCTCATATAATCTGGAGTATAAAAGTCTGATTTATGTGTATTTTAATACTATGTCCCATTAAGTTTGTTACATCTTTTCTTTTTGGTCTTGCCCCATTAAGATTGTCACTACGTGAGAGCAGAGAAATGTATAAGGGAGGGTATGAGGGAATTGTTGTTCTAATGTCTGTAACAGGAGCTTAACTCAACTGTACTGTTAATCAGTCAGATCGAATAACAAGAGCCATACTCCATTGTTATAAGAATGAAAAGAAATGAGAAGGAAAACACAGAATGTAAATCGGGGTTGCTTTATTCAATGGTTCAGATGTTTATTTATACAAGATGTAGCCAACTACCTCTAACCGACCTTTAACTATCTGTTAACAGAAAACTATATATCCGTAAACACCAACAGCTAGCTACTAATTACAAAGTCAAAGCAAAGTCAAAGCTCCTATAACAATCCTTCCCCCTTAGAAGATAAGACTTGTCCTCAAGTCAATCATATCAGCCATTAATGTCAAAGTCAGGATATTGCTCCATTATAGACTGAACAGATTCCCAAGATGCTTCTTCAGCTGAAAACCCCTTCCATTTTACCAGCACTTGTCCTTGCACCTTGTTTTGAAATTTAACACTCCTTCTTTCCAAAATCTTTTCTGGTTGAGGTAATACTTCTGCATTTTGACCTTTAAACCAAGATGGGATATGAGTAGTCATAGGCAATTCTCCTCGGAACTTCTTAAGTTGTGAAACATGGAATACATCATGTATTTGTGAATCTGCAGGTAACTTCAATTTATAGGCCACCTTCCCATAACTTCCTTAATCTGAAACGGACCAAAGAACTTAGATGCTAGCTTCTGATTATTTCTTTGTTGTACAGATTGCTGCCTGTATGCCTGCAACTTTAACCACACCCATTCTCCTCTGGTAAACACCCTTTCAGTTCTTCTTTTGTCTGCCATCTGTTTCATTCTTGCTTGAGCTCTATTAAGATTCTCTTTTAGCCTTTTGATCATCTCTTCTCTTCTTTGCATTGACCTATCCACAGCATCAATATTGGACTCTCCTGGTAAGTAAGGCAGATATAAAGGAGGAGGCTGGTCGTATATAACCTCATAAGGAGTCATTCCTGCAGATGTCTGATAGTGAGTATTAAACCACCACTCTGCTAAAGGTAGCCACAAACTCCATTCCTTGGGATTATTGCTGCACATGCATCTCAAATATACTTGCAAACATTGATTCACTCTTTCTGTTTGACCATCAGTCTGCGGATGGTAAGCAGACGACAAAGTGAATCTGGTTCCTTGTAAAGAAAATAACCCTTTCCAGAATTAACTCAAGAAAATTGCATCTCTATCACTCACAATACTCTTGGGCCATCCATGAAGTTTGAATATATTGTCTAAGTAAACTTGAGCTACCTCAATTGCAGTAAAGGGGTGAGATAGGGCCACAAAATGAGCACCTTTACTAAGTCTATCCACCACGACCAATATCACATCCTTCCCCTGTGAATTAGGTAATCCAGAGATAAAATCTAATGAGATATCAACCCATACTTCTTCTGGCACTGGTAGAGGTTGCAACAAACCTGGATATGCCACATTTTCACTCTTGTATGCTTGGCAAATCACACATTGTCTAATATAGTTGTTGACTTCCTTGTTGAGCCCCTTCCAATAGAAAAGTGTTTTGAGTCTCTTCAGTGTTGCATCCCTTCCTGCATGACCTGCTTCCCCTGAAGCATGTTGCCAGTCCAGAACCTTATTTCTCAAAGCTGCTTCATTACCAATCACAATTTTTCCTTTTCTTCTTAGTAAACCATTTTTTAAAGAATATTTGTCAACTAATTGATTATGTTGCAGCCTTTGAATGATTGTAGATAGGTGCCCATCTCCAACATAACTATCTTTGATGCATTGTTCTAAATCAGAAGCTATTATTGATACAGCCATGCAACATACTTCAGCACCCTGAACCCTGGATAATGCATCAGCCACCAGATTTTCCTTTCCACTTCTATATTGGATTTCATAGTCAAATCCCATGAGTTTGGACAACCAAAACTGCTGGAATGGAGTAGATACCTTCTATTCTAATAACCACTTTAGACTTTTTTGGTTTGTTTTAATGATAAAATGCCGAGAACTCAAATATTGCTCCCATTTTTGTACAACAAAGACTATATATGGCTAATAATTCCTTCTCATATACAGATAATTTTTGCCATTTAGCTCCCAATGATCTGCTTATAAAAGCTAAAGGATGATTATCTTGCATTAAGACTGCACCAATTCCTTCATTGGATGCGTCAGTCTCTACTACAAAGATTTTAGAAAAATCTGGCAGTGCAAGAACTGGAGCAGTGCTTAAAGCCAACTTTAACTTCTCAAAAGCTTTTTGTGCAACATTACTCCATGAATAAGCCCCTTTTTTCAATAAGTTGGTTAATGGTTTACTGATAACACCATAAAAACTAACAAACTTCCTATAATAGCCAGCTAGACCAAGAAAACTCCGCAACTGTTTTACTGATTTGGGTTCAGGCCAAAATTGCTTCCACTTTCTTAGGGTCAGTTTGTAATCCAGCTCCAGATATGAAATGTCCCAAATATTCCACCTTAGGCAAGGCAAAATTGCATTTAGAAGCTTTAGCAAACATCTGATTCTCCCTCATTATCTGAAACACTATCCTCAAATGTTTCCAATGATCCTCCAAATTCTTACTATAGACAAGTATGTCATCAAAAAACACCAACACACATTTCCTTAACAATGGCTTGAAAACTGCATTCATCCAATTCTGAAAAGATGCTGGTGCATTTGTTAATCCAAAAGACATTACTAAAAAATTCATAATGTCCTTCATGCGTTTTGAAAGCTGTTTTAGGAATATCATCCTTATTCATCCTCAGTTGATGATATCCTGCTCTCAAGTCCAGTTTACTAAAGACTGTAGAACCTGCCAATTCATCAATTAACTCATCCAGAATTGGGATGGGAAATTTGTTCTTTACAGTTCTTTTGTTTAACTCTCTGTAATCCACACATAAACGCCATGTACCATCCTTCTTTCCTATCAGCACCATAGGAGATGCAAAAGGGCTTGAACTGTTCTGAATTATCCCCTGTTCCTGCATCTCTTTGACCAAATTTTCAATAATATCCCTCTGCCTCAGTGGATATTTGTATGGTCTAATATTCACAGGATTAGACCCTTGTTCTAAAGGTATCTTATGATCAAATATACCTCTAGAAGGTGGCAAACATTTAGGTTCCTCAAATATTCCTTTAAATTGCTGCAACAATTCCTGCAATTCCTTTGGATACTTATCCTCTTTGACCTCCATTTTATTGTAACCCACTTCAGTCTCATCTCCATAACTGGGTACCAACTGTAAAAACAATATCTGAGTAGCTTCTTCTATGAACTTGTTGGATTTAGATGCATATAGTGATTTCAAATTGGCAGATGATACTCCTTGAAGACTAGTTACTGGTACCCCTTGCCATTCAAATTTCATAATGAGATTCTTCAAATCCCATTGTACAGGTCCCAATTCAGAAAGCCATTGAACTCCTAATACCATATCACATCCTCCTAATGGTATTAGTAACACATCAGTCTGGAATTTATGATGCTGCATAGTCCAAGAGAAATCTTTGCAGAGGTTCTGGCAAGCTAAATTGCTACCATCCGCTACTGTAACAATCTGTGATTTCATCTTCTCAACCTTAAGACCCCATTTCTGTGCCAAATTCATATCCATAAAGTTGTGAGTGCTTCCTGAATCAATCAAGATATGTATGGGTTTCCTTCCAGCATAGCCTACCACTCTCATTGTTTGAAATCTTGCACATCCAGATACAGCACTAATAGAAATGCAAGGGTCTTGAATCAACAATTCATCAATACTATCTTCTTTTGTTGAATTATCAAATTCTGGCCCTTCTTCATCATCTGTACCTTGCACCTCTACTGTAAACAACTGAGTTTTCTTAAATTGGCATTTATGATTCTTATCATATGGTTGATCACAGTAATAACACTGCCCTTTTGCCAATTTTTCAGCTCTAACTGATGCAGGAATATAGTTTCTAAAGCTGGCTTCAGAATTATTTTGGTTTCTTGTCAATACATTCTTTAAGGGAATCTGATTATGGATGGTGTTTGGCAGACTAGTACTGCTTCTGAAATATGAATTACTCTTAGTAGCATTGATAGTTTCTTCTTGAGATCTGGCAAATTCAATAGCTTCAGCCATAGTTGAAGGTTTCAGGACCCTTACAAAAGATTTCACAGATGCTTTTAATCCTCCAACAAAGCAATCTAGGAAATATTTTTCTAGTAAAGGATGTGATCGTTTTATTAAACTTTTCAGTTCTTCAAATTCATCAATGTACTCATCAATTGAAGACTTTTGCTCGCACCTGTTAAATCTTTCCACCACATCTTTTTCCATTGTATCTATGAATCTGGCTGATAAATCTTCTTCAAACTCTAGCCAACTTACATCAGTTTTATCAGCTAAGTAATTAACCACCCAAATTTCTGCCTTCCCCGACATATTCAATGCAGCCATATCTACTTTTTGTTCCTCAGGTATTCGACACAAAGCAAAGTATCTTCTACATTTCTTAACCCACATGCTACTATTATTACCATCAAAGTGAGGAAATTCAAGTTTAGGAATATACCCTAGGGATTTGGCATGATTTCCTCCCCTTTCGCCATGATGGAAGAAATTAGGTGAACTGGAAGATGATTCTTTATCCACCTTCTTCTGCAAATCCACGACAACATTCATTAACTGATGAAATTGTTGCTGGATATCATTTTGAAATTGTAGTTGCGACTGAGCGAGAGCCTGTAATTGCTCCTCCATAGCTTCAATGGCAGCTTTCGCACGTGATCGAGGCGCCAGAGTTTTACGCAGCAAGATTCCTCAGCGGAGAAGATGATCGCAGCTCTGATACCAATGTAACAGGAGCTTAACTCAACTGTTAATCAGTCAGATCGAATAACAAGAGCCATACTCCATTGTTATAAGAATGAAAAGAAATGAGAAGGAAAACACAGAATGTAAATCGGGGCTGCTTTATTCAATGGTTCAGATGTTTATTTATACAAGATGTAGCCAACTACCTCTAACCGACCTTTAACTATCTGTTAACGGAAAACTATATATCCGTAAACACCAACAGCTAGCTACTAATTACAAAGTCAAAGCAAAGTCAAAGCTCCTATAACAATGTCCTTTTGTTATTTATCCCTTATTACAATCAAAAGAACACATTTGACCGAATTCTTTTATAAGGAACTAATAACGGGCTTGTTCCTTAATTATTTGGATTTGGTGACATGGCAAGTAAGTAGTATAACAAAATAATAAGGGAATGACCGTCATAAAATAAGAAACCATGTATTGCCCCAAAATGTTGAATCGTTATAAGGGATTAATAACCGATCATCCATTATTAATATTTTTTTATCGAAGAACATTCAAATAAGTGGACAAGTAATCGATGATCATCTTTATTACTTTGAATATCACTTAAGCACTTGATTTATAAATATTTTGTGTAGACATTTGTGATAAATAATTTTTTTGCTGTTATTTAATCATTCTAAAAATTGTTAGGATTTATCTGTATAATGTGTATTTTTAGAATTATTAGAGCCTGGCCGAAATATGTACATGTGTAGGGCTTTAGTTTTCTTGGCTCAAGTTTGTGTAATGCCTTGTGTTTATACCCTTGATTAATTAATGAGAACACACATCATTATGTCTAAATAATTCGCATGGTATCAGAGCCTCTCGTGCTGGTCGAACCCCACCTGCGCGAATAACTCGATCGAAGGTGCTGCACCAGCGCTGCAAACCATCTTGTGATCACGAGTGGAGAAGAGAAGATCGATGTTACATCTCCTTATTACCTTGGCTCTGGAGATCAACCTGGAAACGTTATCACCCACGCAATTCTCACCGGTGATAATTATGTGGCCTGGGCTAGAGCAATTAAGCTCTCAATTTTTTTGGTTTCATGCCTGTCCCAAGCCAGGATAAAGGAGGAGGGTGCTGTGGTAGGCGCGTGACGGCCAACAGTATTACCTAGTCACATCACATGACATGAATCGAAATATGAATATCGCTACAGCTAGGTCGTCGCCCGTAAGCGACGCGTCATCCCTCCGCCTGGGGGTGGTGTCAAATATGCAAGGGTGCGCTACACTTCATAGGCCTGGGTGTGGTGATAAGAATGCTAAGGTTGCTAGGTCGTCGCCCGGAAGCGGCGCGTCATCCCATTGCCCGAGGATGATGTTAAATATGCACGGGCATAGTGGGGTCCGAGGCGGGGCTAAGAACATAAGGTGGAGTGCTAGATTGCGCTTTGGGACGTGGAATGTTGGGTCTCTTACAGGCAGATCTTCCGAGGTAGTCGAAGTTATGAGGAGGAGGAATATCAGCATTATGTGTGTGCAAGAAACTAAATGGGTTGGAGAGAAAGCACGTGAGATTAATCCTGGAGGTTTTAAGTTGTGGTATTCGGGGAGAGATAAGACCATGAATGGGGTAGGCATTATTGTGGCGCGTGACTATGTTGAAGATGTGGTAGAAGTCTTCAGGAAGAACGATCGTATCATGAGCATTAAATTGGTGATGAGGGGTGAGATTGTGTCTGTGATAAGTGCCTATGCACCACAAGTGGGATTGGATGCATCTACGACTCAACAGTTTTGGGAAGATCTTGAAGAAGTGGTGCGGCGAGTGCCAAGGGGAGAGAAGTTGGTCATAGGAGGCGACCTCAACGGGCATGTGGGCTCGAGCCGTGATGGCTTTGAGAGTATTCATGGCGGACATGGTTTTGGCACTAGAAATGAAGCAGGAAAGAACATTTTGGATTTTGCCTCGACGTATGAGTTGGCTATAATGAACACTTGGTTTAGGAAAAGAGACTCTCACCTTGTAACCTATAGAAGTGGAGCTAATAGTACCCAAATTGACTACTTCTTAGTACGGACTACTTGGAGAACTAGCTACACCGATTGTAAGGTTATCCCAGGTGAGAGTGTTGTCACTCAGCATAGGATGCTTGTGCTTGACTTTCGAGGTAAGAACCATAGAAGACAAGTTAAGCAACAAGTGGAGCCAAAGATAAAGTGGTGGAGGCTCGAGGGAAATCTTCAACAAAGCTTTGCACACAAAATGTTCGGTGAAGATGTATGGCGTATTGATAATGGAACACATGTGGAGGATGCGTGGTTATCGATGGAGCTGACCATCAACAAAGTGGCAAAGGAGGTACTTGGAGAATCTAAAGGATGTCTGCCACCCAAAAAGGACACGTCGTGGTGGAATGATGAGGTGAAACAAGCCATAAGGAACAAAAGATATTGCTACAAAAAGCTGGTGACAAGTCGGAGTGATGAGAACATAGAAGCATACAAGGAGGCTAGAAGACAAGCAAAGAAAGCCGTAAAGGAATCACAAGGGAAAGTGGACAAGGAGTTGTATGAAAAATTGGACTCTAAGGAAGGAGAACAAGATATCTATAAACTTGCTCGTCTTCGTGATCGTAGGACTCAAGATATCGGAAAAGTTAAGTGTGTGAAGGATGTCGATCAAAGGATATTAATGGAGGACGGAGAGATAAAAGAGAGGTGGAGGTCATACTTTGACACATTGTTCAACGGGAACAAAGTGCAAGATATTGGTGATTTGACCTTACCAGATTGTATGGTAAATCGTGATTTTGTGAGAAGGATCCAACCAACGGAAGTTAAAGAGGCTCTGAGAAAGATGGGGTGGAAGAAAGCAGTGGGTCCATATGGCATACCGATCGAGGCTTGGAGAAGTTTGGGAGAGAGAGGCATCGAGTGGTTAACAAATTTCTTCAACAAGATTTGGAGAAACAACAAGATGCCAACGAGTTGGAGAAAGAGTACTCTTATTCCCTTATTTAAGAATAAAGGTGATGTACAAGAATGTGCCAACTATCGAGGGATTAAGCTTATGAGTCATACCATGAAACTTTGGGAGCGAGTGATTGAGCAAAGACTTCGAAGAACGGTGAAGATTTCAGAGAATCAATTCGGTTTTATGCCTGGTCGCTCAACAACTGAGGTTATTCACCTTCTTCGGCAACTTATGGAGAAGTATAGAGTCGCTCACAAGGATTTGCATTTAGTGTTCATTGACTTAGAAAAGGCATATGATAGGGTACCTCGAGAAGTTCTTTTGTGGGCCTTAACTAGAAAAGGCATTTCATGGAAGTATATCAGCATCATCATGGATATGTATGAGGATTGTACTACAAGTGTCCGTACTAGTGTAGGGAGGACTGCGGAGTTCCCTATTACTATCGGAGTGCACCAAGGATCGGCTCTGAGCCCTTTTTTTATTTGCCATAGTCATGGATGAACTTACAAAGTCAATTCAAGATGATATACTGTGGTGCATGATGTTTGCCAACGATATTGTATTGATTGATGAGACACAATCAGGGGTTAAAGCAAAGTTGGAAGTATGGCGACAAACATTGGAGAACAAGGGTTTCAGACTAAGTAGGAGCAAGACAGAGTACATGGAGTGCAAGTTTGGTGGAGGTAGAAGCAGTGGTAATAGCGGAATTACTTTAGATGGTAAGGAGATACCGGTCAGCGATATGTTCCGTTACTTGGGCTCTATAATTCAGAAGGACGGTGAGTTAGATAGAGATGTATCCCATAGAATCAGAACAGGGTGGATGAAGTGGAAGAGTGCGTCAGGATTTCTATGTGATCGAGGTATGCCGACTAGACTGAAGGGTAAATTCTATAGGACAGCAATTAGGCCTGCACTACTGTATGGCACGGAGTGTTGGGCGGTGAAACAATGTCACATTCAAAAGATGAGTGTGGCAGAGATGCGCATGCTGCGTTGGATGTGCGGGCATACTAGAAAGGATCGTGTGAGGAATGAGACAATCAGACAAAGGGTGGGAGTAGCACCTATTGAAGATAAGATGCGGGAGTCGCGCCTACGATGGTTTGGTCATGTGCATAGGAGACCGATTGATGCACCTGTCAGACGAGTGGAGATGTGTGGAGAAGAGGCAGGGAAGAGAGGGAGAGGAAGGCCTAAACAGACGTGGGCTAGGGGAGTCAGAAGTGATATGCTTCTTCTTGGATTGGATGAGAGTATGGCTTTGGAGAGAGCGAAATGGAGGGCGGGTATTCGTGTGGAGGAGTGATATTGTATCATCTTTTCCCCTCTTTTCTTCTTCTTCTTCTTCTTCTTCTTCTTTTTCTTTTTCTTTTATATTTTTATCCTTATATATAAACATTACTTTATCCTTTTTATTTTATCTTTTATATGTATATTCATCTCTTTTATATTATCTTTTTTATAATAGCTTATCTTTTTTATCTTTATTTCCTTTCTTTTCTTTTGGATGATATCATGTATCGATTCATGTTAGCCGACCCCAATATCGTTTGGGACTAAGGCTTGGATGTTGTTGTTGTTGTTGTTGTTCTTCTTGTTGTTGTTGATGGGACGCTCAACAAATCAACGGATGCAGGAAAATTGCTTCATTGGGAAACCGTAAATTCCATGATCGTGTCGTGGATTTTACGTGTAATTGACGAGAAAATTGCAGCTTCCATACCATTCCACGATGAGGCTAAACCTTTGTGGGATTATTTGGAACGTCGATTCTGTGTGGCTAATGGACCACGCATCCAGCAGCTACGGGCCGACGTAGTCGGTTGCAAACAGACCAAGGGCATGAGCATAGACGAATACTACAATCAACTTTTGACTCTCTACGACGAATTGGATTGTTTGAAGCCCCTACATGCCTGCACTTGCGGAGGGTGTACATGCAGAATTGCTGAAAAATTTGCCGCGGACAGAGCGGAAGAAAAACTTCATCAATTCTTGATCGGAATTGATGATGAATATTACGGTATTACTCGGTCCAACCTGCTCTCGCAGCCAACCCCAGTAACCTTGGATTGAGCCTATCAAGCTTTGATTCAGGAGGAGAAATCCAAAGACATAGCCAGGGGTAAAGCACTGAAGGAAGAGCCCCAAGCGTTTGCCTTGCGTGCTGATATGCCGAGCCAGAAAACTGGTCGTATAGACAAAGAAAAGCTCCAATGTAGCCACTGCAAGAAAAAGGGGCATGAGGTGGAAAACTGCTTCAAACTACACGTCTATTCGGAGTGGTGGACTGAACGAAATTGGGATGGCAAGGGGCAGACTGCTGGACGGGGAAGTCAGGGGCTGGCTCACGGGAAGAAGCAGGTTCAGGCTAATTTTTTGATGGATGAAACTTCACAGGGTGATACGGGTGGTCTGGTGGGGCAGCTGAAACTGGAACATGTCCAAGCCTTGCTTAATTTAATTAATTCTGAAACAAAGAATGCTGGTAGTGATCGCATGAGTGGTAAGCCTTACTTCATACCTTGGATTCTTGACAGTTGGGCTACGCACCATGTGACGGGTAACACTGGATTAATTATTCATGGCACACATGTTGATCATTGGATGGTAGGACTGCCGAACGGACAGCGTGTGGAGGCTACCATCGTTGGAGATGTGCAACTCTCGGACAGTTTTGTTCTGAAAAATGTTTTATGCGTGCCCAATTTGCAGTGCAATTTAATTTCCATTGCACAATTAATTGATGATTCTAAATGTATTGTAAAATTTGCTAATAACTTGTGTGCTATACAGGACCAACTCTCGGGGAACCTGATTGGAGCCGGTGAGCGTCGGGACGGACTCTATTACTATCGTAGCATTCCACGCATTCAGTTGATTACTTCGTCAGAACTTGGGAATTTTGATTTATGGCATCGACGATTAGGTCATCCTTTTGATCGCGTGCTCAAGTTAGTACCTGCTGTTTCTTCTGTTTCGGGAAATAAAACTCCGAATAAGCCGTGTGTGGCATGCCCTATGGCAAAGAAAAAGCGTGATGTCTTCCCTACTAATCATAATAAAGCTTCTAGAATTTTTGAACTTTTGCATTGTGATTTATGGGGACCTCATAACACTCCGTCTTCTTGTGATGCTGTTTATTTTTTGACAATTGTGGATAATTTTTCACGTAGTGTTTGGGTGTATCTTTTGCGTAATAAGAGTGAAGTGCATAAAGTGTTTAGCACGTTTTTAGCTATGGTGGAACGCCAATTTGATGTTAAAGTAAAAATCATTCGAAGTGATAATGGAACGGAATTCACTTGTATGATTGATTATTTTGCTTCACTTGGTATTATGTTTCAATCGTCTTGTGTGGGCACTCCACAGCAAAATGGGCGAGTGGAACGTAAACACCAACATATACTCAACGTTGCACGTGTTCTTATGCATCAAGCTCATCTCCCGGTTAGTTTTTGGGGTGAATGTATCTTGGCTGTCGTGTATTTAATTAATCGAACCCCATCAGGACTTTTAGCTAACAAAAGCCCGATAGAAGTACTGTGTGGGGAACCGCCCACCTATGATGAACTCCGAGTTTTTGGCTGCCTTTGCTTCGTCCATAATCAATGGGCAAAAGGGAATAAATTTGCTCCACGGGGACGCCGGTGTGTGTTTGTTGGGTATCCCAATGGCAAAAAGGGATGGAAACTGTTTGACTTGGATACTCATGAATTTTTTGTTTCACGTGATGTAACCTTTCATGAAGATGTATTCCCCTACGCAGCCTCTTCCGTTCCTGAAAGTAATCCTGCTCCATCGTTGGACGTGATTGGTTTTGATGAAGACACTGAATCTTCTTTTGGGGAGGATGAGGCAGATTCTACTACGCAGGCTACTGAAGGAGTTGTTCCACCTATTCTTTCCAGTAATGAGGCAGGTTCCAGTTCGGCTATTCCTCAGGAAAATCCCCCTTCGGCAGCTCAACCACGCAGAAGTCAACATGCTAGGCAGTCTTCGGTCCTATTCCGTGATTATGTCTCTAATGCTACGAGTAATCTGAGTCCCGTTCCGACCTTAACGTCTCCACATTCAGAAGCCATGCAAGACGCAGGATGGCGCGATGCTATGGCAAAGGAGATCCGGGCTTTGGAGGATAATGGCACCTGGACCATGACCACTTTACCTCCTAACAAGAAGGCTCTTGGTTGTAAATGGGTCTATAAGACCAAATATAATTCTGATGGAAGCATTGAGCGTCTTAAGGCGCGATTGGTCATTTTGGGAAATCATCAGGTTGCTGGTTTGGATTATCATGAAACTTTTGCACCAGTTGCTAAAATGGTCACTATTCAGGCATTTCTTGCAGTCGCGGCAATCAAGCAATGGGAACTTCATCAAATGGACGTTCATAATGCTTTCCTTCATGGGAATCTTGATGAGGAGGTGTACATGAAACTTCCACCCGGATTTTCTGGAGATACGCCGGGACGTGTTTGTCGTCTTCACAAATCTCTATATGGCTTACGTCAAGCACCCCGGTGTTGGTTTGCTAAACTTGCTTGTGGATCGTTGCGCTTACCGCTACACTAAAAGCAATTGCTGATAGTGTAGCACGCCCCTCACCATTTATAGCACATGCGAAGCGCCACGCGGTCCGATTGCACCGGCAGGCTGGCTGTTGCTGGCACCGCATACCCGCGGCCCAACAATCTCCCCCCAGCACCTGCCAGCCTACAACTGCGCAGCATGCTGTTGCCGGGGGTCGAACCCGTGACCTTGGCTCTGATACCAATTGTGGATCGTTGCGCTTACCGTTACACTAAAAGCAATCGCTGATAGTGTAGCACGCCACTCACCATTTATAGCACATGCGAAGCGCCACGCGGTCCGATTGCACCGGCAGGCTGGCTGTTGCTGGCACCGCATACCCGCGGCCCAACATTGCTACATCTCTGAAGTCCTATGGATTTCGTCAATCCTACGCTGACTATTCCTTGTTCATTTTTCATAGGAGTACCATTCGACTTCATGTCCTTGTTTATGTTGATGACTTAATTATCTCTGGCAATGACTCTTATGCTCTAACGTCCTTCAAGGAATATTTGAGCACCTGTTTTCATATGAAGGATTTGGGTGTTCTCAAATATTTCTTAGGCGTAGAGGTTGCTCGTGGCGCTGATGGCTTGTTTCTCTGTCAACGGAAATACTGTCTAGATATTATATCTGATGCTGGACTTCTTGGAGCCAAACCTGATAGTGTCCCACTTCCCCAGAATCATTCGCTGGCTAATGTTTCGCAAGAACCACTGGCTGATCCGGAACCTTATCGTCGCCTTGTTGGGCGCCTCATTTATCTCTCCTTTACTCGCCCTGATTTAGCTTATGCTGTTCATACCCTCGCTCAGTTTATGCATGCACCGCAACCTGATCATTGGGCAGCGGCACTACGGGTAGTCCGATACCTGAAGGGCTCTCCGGGACAGGGGATTCTCTTGCGTTCTGATAGTGACTTGTCTCTCTCCGCATGGTGTGACTCCGACTGGGCCAGCTGTCCTATAACTCGGCGTTCTCTTACTGGATGGATAGCGTTTCTTGGTTCCTCTCCCATCTCTTGGAAAACCAAGAAACAACACACTGTGTCTCGCTCTTCGGCTGAGGCCGAATATCGGTCCATGGCATCGGCTACCTCTGAACTCAAATGGCTTAAGGCACTTCTCCTTGTTCTTGGGATTCCACATCCTCGGCCAATGCAGCTCTTTTGTGACAGCAAATCCGCTCTCCATATTGCTCAGAACCCGGTGTTTCATGAGCGCACCAAGCATATTGAGGTAGACTGTCATTACATTCGTGATGCTGTTCAAGATGGTACCATTAGCACCTCTCATGTTTCCACTACGGATCAACTTGCTGACATTTTCACCAAAGCTTTGGGCACACGCCAGTTTACTTTTCTCCTGCGCAAGTTGGGCATTTATGATCCCCATGCTCCAACTTGAGGGGGGGTGGGGTGTTAAGATTTATCTGTATAATATGTATTTTTAGAATTATTAGAGCCTGGCCGAAATATGTACAGGTGTAGGGCTTTAGTTTTCCTGGCCCAAATTTGTGTAATGCCTTGTATTTATACCCTTGATTAATTAATGAGAACACACATCATTATGCCTAAATAATTCGCAAAAAGTGACTTATTATCTTAATTATTCTCCCTATTTTAATACTACCTTCGTCCCAAAGTGATGGTACCAATTCTTATTCACCTGGTCAACACAAACCACTCTTAACCTTTTACTTTATATATCAAATTTTTATCAAATTTGATTCTAACTTTTGCGACTTTGAAAAAATTTTAATGTAATTTTTGAATGGTCAAACATCTAAACCGCAATGGTACCATCAAATTGGGATGGTGATAGTATAACATCTATCATTTTAATATAAATGTTGTTAAAAAGTATGTAATGCCGCTTGTACCCCTCCACATAAGCCTTCCTCGCCACCTGTCCATCAACGTCGCCACTACTGTTGCAGACCCCATCAGTGATAATGATCACCACTTATCGCTGCTAGTGACTTCAATCCCTAATAGATAAAATGTGATTTACATTTTCAGTTGTAAAATATCCCATAGTTAGTCAACTATCATAATCGCGTGTAAATATACTCACTGAGATATTAAAAGTGTGTGATTGACTAGACAACTGTCACACAATGACATAATCCTGAATGTTTGTGGAATTCAAGTGCTAAAATGTTGAGGCCCACAATCTTTGTACGGGTCCCAAGCTCGGTTGCGGAGGTCGGGCTTGGATGCAGTGTTTAGCTAAGAGGTAAGCAACATCGGCTCATAATGTGAAATAGTAATGCATTTAATGATCATTAAGCTCATAATGCGGTAGTTGGTCTAGAGCTCGGCCGTAGTGATGGAAATGCCGATTTATGTGTATTTTAATACTATATCCCATTAAGTTTGTCACATCTTTTCTTTTTGGTCTGCCCCATTAAGATTGTCTCATATCAAATTTGGTAAAATTCATGTGATTCTAAATCATTCTTATTTTGTTCTTACTTTATCAATCCAATATCAATCACATAAACGCATTTTATCAATCCTATTTTAAGTTATGTACCTTATGGATCCAATTGGAAGTTTTGTCCAGAGTTAGCCAAACTATAGGTTCTATTTAATTAGACACGGGAGAGGGGGTGCAGGTAAGGGGGGCCTAATTAGACCCCGGCTTGCCCCAAATTTGAAAATGATTGAATATTTTATCTGATTTTTTTGTACAAACAAGCCCTGTGTAACACTTATCAATTTATCTAAATTAGATAAATGTGCACATTCTAACCCTGTGTACATTTTTTCTGAAAAATTTATCTAATTTTTTGTACATTTGCTCCTGTGTAGGCGTGTGCGCATGGAGGATGGATTCGATGCCTCTACTTTGCTTTTACAAGCATGGAGGGCGTTTGGCCATTTTGAACCTCCGATCAAAATATCAAAAGAAAATTAGGGGGTGTTTGGATCTGGTTCTTAAAACTGCTTCTGCTTCTTTAGGGAGCAGAAACAGAAGTTGGAGTGCTTGGGTGAAAGTGCAGAAGTGATTGTGGTGCTCTAATTTACTCCTAGAATCAGTTTTTTCAGAAGCTGGGGGAGACCAGCTTCTGAAAACTGATTCTGATTCTGCTTTAAAAAAGAAACAGAAGCAGAATCAGTTCCAAACCCCCTTAAGGGTTTAACTTTTTCACTTTTTCAGGTAATGGCTGGCTTTTATTTGAGTATAGGACTCCGCATTAAGATAGAGGATCTCAATCCCACGAGAATTACACAAAGAAGCGCATGCTCGTTCTGGTGGATGCATGTAAATAATGCATACAAGCATTATATGCACATTGGGAGGACAACCTATTATTCAAATCCATAACTATACTCAAATCTGTGGTTTTATTTTCCTATTATTTATCTTTTAGTTCAATGATGAAGTTCGTGTTTGTTTTTATTTTAATTCGAGGATGTGTAGTTGGAGTATTTTGATTTTGGAAGAACTTTTGATAGGTAGTGTTTCATTTTCGATCGTTTTAGGCTTTTTCATTCGAATATGTTGTCTTGCATGTTTCTCTATTTTTACAAAAGCCGTTGTATGATAAGTATTACTTAGAGTCAATCAAAGATTGATGAAGTGTTGCCATTGAGGGAAGCAAATATTGAATTTAAGCAATCTTGACAATATGTCATGTCTAAATGGATCAATTACAATATTATTATTCAACAATTAAAATATTAACCATAACACTCACTTTAAATTTAATGATGGAATTTCTAATCCAAACGGGAGGGAAGGAGGGGGGGATCTACAGGGGGATTGAAGAATTGATCACAAAGGGAGGGGAGAGAGAAGAAGGGGACTAATGAGTAGTCATATAAAACTAAGAAAAGTAATACTAGTCTCAAATTGATTTGCAAATTTGACTTTATTTGGTCAAACATGTTTCATTTTATTTGCTTAATTAGGATATCAATTTTTACTTATATTCTAATTTGGAGATTACAACTTTGAAGAGATTTTAATGTAGTTTCTGAATATGTAAATTTCAATTATTAAAATTTGAATTAATTATTGATAGGGAGGATTGAATTGACTTTTATTATTGATTTACAAAAAAATTATTGACTTTGCAAAACAATTTGGAATAGAGGGAGTATTAATTGCCTCCATCTCATAGAAATAGCCACTTCAAATTTAGTAAGAAATTGTGTAATTGATGTTTGGAGAGAGAAGAGAGAACAGAGCAACATCATAAAAATAATTACTTTAATAAAGAGTAAAGACATGAGAAAGCTAGAACAACAAGAAACTTTGCAAAGCCCAATAGAATGAATATAGTAATAATTTCTATTTTGTGAAAATAAAACTTGTACTCGTAGTTTTATTATTGTTATTATTTTACTCCTTTTTATTGTAATTTGATAGGGTATTATTCAATATGTGAGAAGTGAACGTCGAAATGGTGAAATAGACCAATATGTAATAGACATTTTATGGGATAGTGTCACATTCTCACTCCCATGAACATCTGATAAATATCATTCATTTTTAGCATAAAAATGTCATTTTTAGTTTATTGGGCTGAAAGAGATAAAAAGGATAATCTTCAAGTATTGAGCAATGAAGTCATATTGACTTTTCTTAGTCAATGATAGCACATTTTTTATAATGTTTTTAATTATTATATTTGTATATTATTTATAAATTTTATACTTTTATGAAAAATATTTCAAATAAAAAACAGTTTGATATAATTTTCATATTCATAATAATTCCGCATTTTACATACGTGTCCGACAACTTTTTAATAAGGAGTATTAGTTAGTACAGTAACATTGATAAATAGAGGAATGGGAGTATTCAATCTGCAGGTCATACCTTTAGGCTAACCGCAACTCGTCTCCGTCAATAAATCAAATTTTCCACTACTTTATACGTATTTATTTTGTCAATTCAATTTTTACTGCAATCCGTCCACCGTCAATATATTCATCTTGCAAAGTTTTTTTTATATATAAGTCTTATTTTTGTTATTATACATCAATTTTTTATTAATTTTTTACGGTAGTTCAGTTTTTAAAAAGTCAAACATTCCGATGTAAAATTAAATTAATCTGAAATTAATTTATTTGTTTTTATTTCAGACCCATTTTTAAAAAAATTAGTGAAAGATGTAAAAAGAATTGTTTAATCACGTTAAAAATTTCTAACAGCTGAAATTTCATTTTTTTTCTAAATTTATATACTTCCTATATGATATTGGTGTCATATGTATGGTAAAAAAAATTATGAATTTTGATATAGTTTTTGTGAATTTTAAATACTAATAAAGAAGTTATAACACTTCTAATAAAAAAGATATTTTCTTTTTTGTTGGGGTCCACACTCTCTCTGTATATCCACTTCCTCTCTATTTCTTTTTGTGGCTATGTTGTTCCAACAAGGTATAGGGCGTGAATATGAGTGCCAAATTCCGCCTCCCTGGGTGCCATCCTACCCATTTGGCACCTCCAAATACATGGGTTGGATCCTTGGAGGGTTTTATGGAGTAAAAGTCTTAAATTTAGTTTTTCATCTATCAGGTTGCAGGCAGCCTCAAGGCTTTAATTTATTTCATGTCAAATTCTTTCTTAACAATTCGATTCGATATTGAAGTAGCTGGTTCATAAATCATAATAACATGGATCACTCAAGACATTTTAAGATATCTTCCCATATTTATTTGGCTTTTAAATCAGTGAGACACTGATCAAGGCGGGGAGTAGACATTATTAGCCAGGCCGGGAAGATGATATTATAATTAACGGCCGGCCGGGGAATGAATCAAAATGTCTTCTCGAACTGAACCTTAAACGGAACATCACTCAAAACTAAGAACCGGACACCGCTTTTGTTCACAAAGATTCCAACATCTCTGCAAATGACCTTGCACGTGCTGCAAACGCTCGGGCAAAACACAAACTTGTAATCTTTATCGGACTTCTCAATCTTAAACCAGCTGCTTAACGTATTAATCCCAGGATTCCCTATGGCCCCACCGGTTTTCACGAAAGTCTGCTTCGAGGACTCATCGTAGGCGTCGAGTTTCCACACCACCTCCTTGGCGCAGATTGTCGGGGTGAAGAACCTATGAAAAAATGACATGTATATTAGTGACACCGTTTCCCCAGATAAAAATATGATTAATATGTTTTTGGATTAAAACGTGACAACTCGAGCAAAAATATGACTTGTCACTATGTACGATTAACTGGACGAGAGTCACTATAATGTACCAGTATTTCAGAGTGATGTGTCACTGAGAACTAGTCGACTGAATATGTCACTATTTTTAGAAAATTTTAAAATAAGTCATATTTTATCTTTTTCTTAAGGCTCTGGGTTTCATAAAAGGTAAATCTGAAAGGAGTCCATAAAAGGAGAACTAGTGTTTTATTGCTTTCTAGCTTTTTGGTGTGGGACAAATACTTGGGTTTTTTACGAGAATATTACTAAAATAAAACTTATTTACATAAATATGACTATTCATTACTACAACGTAGTGTTGTGGTAACTAATGTTCAAAACTTAAACATGAATTACTATGATTTCATTACTACTCTAGTAATGAATCATATTTTTGTAAATCATCTTTATTTTGGTCATATTTATGTAATTATTTCCAAATACTTTAACAATTTTGAATTTAAGTTAGTAATATTCTTGCAAAAAGGCCACCTGGTATACAGAAACATAATTTGAGGAAATAACAGTTTACCTTATTGAGTGCCCTGACCTTATATTTGTAATACACAGATCGAGTTTAGAAAATTACTTGTATATTATTACCTGACGTTGAGATCGGTGGAAAGCGGGACCACGCTGCCGTCTTTGGTGTTGACCGGAGTGAGCACGACGGGTATGCCCTTCTGGACTTCACTGGCCTCTTGGATGACGTCCTGTGGGCATTGGGTATTGTTCTGTTTGATGTTGGCTGGGTATACCCCGCCGCCTCTGCCGCGGAATACCGGAAGGATGAAGTAGTTTGAGCCCACAATGAGTGGCTTGCCCTTGAGGTCAAGGACGGCGGCAGAAGGTGAAGTGGCGGCGGCGGTGGCAGAAATGAGAAGGGATAATGAGAGTGAAAGGAATGGGATCAATAATGCCTTCATGATTGATAGATGATGATAAGGCTGGGTGGGAGATAGTTCAAGTTGTTCACTGAGAACTTCAGGGCCTGTTTACTAACAGAAATATTTTCTGTTTTTTGAAAATTTTGGAAAACTGGAGATAGAAAAGTCAGAAAACATGTTTACCAAAGTGTTTTCCAAAATCAAAAAATTGAAACATATCTCATTTTTTACGCGTGAAATGGAAAACACGTTTTACTAGTTTTCTAGTTTTAGAAAACTCGCTGCTACAGTAATTCATTTACTCGCACGCCTTCCGTCTCCTACCACCTTTACGAGCTTTCATTTTGGCTTATCTACCTCCGCCTAACTTCATTACTCGGCTTTAACTTCTCACCTTCCTCCTCCTCTCCAGCTTAAAAGTCGGACCTGTGCTACGCTCAACACCGCACGTGTTGTCCAACACGCCACAACTTCTGAATCGAGAGAGCAGAGCTTCCCAACCTCTTCCACACATGGCTACCGCACTCCAGGTTCACAAATCAAGCATCGCCGCCGATAGGAGCTGAGGCCCGACATCACGGCATCTCCCAGTTCTTCCGTCGGCTCCTGTTCTGCCAACGATTTGAAGGTAAGCTCTGAAACTCAAAATTGAAGTAAAAATTGAACTGAATTCGGCTTCCATTAACATACGATATCCATGACACAAGCTTCTATTATCTGCTATTAACTGAATTCGACTTCTATTATTTGCTATGCAAAATTTTTCACCTTTTTTTTTCAAAATTGAAATCAGATTGGAATCTGATAACCAATGCGGCTTCTTAAGCCTTAAATTCATGGTTAGGTCTTGTTTTCATGTCTGGCAACCGAAGGTGATGCAAGTTAATTTACAACTTTAACCATTTAGAAAACCCCAGTAATGTTTATGCTTAGTTTGGAGAAAAGGATCATTCCTAGGTCCTTTGTGTATCAAACACTGGCAGCAGAGGGTTTGTTAACAGAGGACCTAAAGCTACTTTGAAGGATGTTGGTCGCATCTGAAGAAAAGTTTCTAAGTAAGTTTGTAAAATGCTATGAGAGCAAAGTTCCTGACCTGCTGAAGCTATATCAGATGTCTGGCGGGATTCCTTAAGTAGATTTTCCTTGATAGGTTTGTTACCAATTGTTTTGGTGTTCATCTGTATTTATTGTTTAAAACCATATCCAATTATTTTTCAGCCATAATGAGTTGGTATAGATCATCAGTTCATCACTGAGATGACAGTCTTGAGGTTTTCTGAAATTCACTGTCATTTCTCTTAGCGGTTAGACATTTGAAAGTTGAAACATCATAGTGATGATTCCGGTACTCACACATGTGTACAACCCCTCATGCTCTGTTCTGCCCTTCTCGATTTTCATCATTATGATGAACACCTATAACTATCACAATGACCAATCCCTTCAGGGTCCTTGAGTAATCTAGCATGAGGAGCATGGATTCTGCATTTCTTCTACACAATACTTCATTTTTTCTATGCAAAAAAGTTCATTGGATTAGAATGATCAAGCTCTCCATTTATTGTGGCATTTTGTACTACATAGCATCTATAAAAACTATAACACCAATAAGTTCTTTACCATTCTATACTTGTTAACCATATCGTTACCATGTCATCGACAGAAACAAGTTTTTAATACGGAGTAAAACATAACTAATTGAAATCGTGCTGTGTTGAGCAGTTTCAAAACGACCAAATGATTAGCTTACGCATCATTATGAAAACTTGAATATGAAGACTTTTTTTTTCAAACAAATATGAAGAGTTTTTTAAGATCTTTTCAAAATACTATAAGGTCAGGACTCTTAATGGTTTACACTTTACAGTACACTAGTTTGTGGTTGATTAGGGTATCACTCTTAATGGTTTATAGTTTACAGTACACTAGTCAGCATCCCCCTCCTCTTGTTTGGTCTTTCCACATTGAATACCCGAGTGTAAATCAATAGTAAAATGTGTAGTTATATATGGGTAAAGGCTGGTTATATATGGTTATATCTAACTTCCAGTTTCGAATCAATTGGAAACACTTTGAACTTATGTTGTTAGCACATTTCAATGTTGGTGCAATTTTGTGGTAGATGAGTTTAACTCAAGAAGAAAAGGATGATGCCATATGGCCTGATGAAAAAGAGACTTTGTTTTTGACTGTGCTATATGAAAGAGTAAAAAAAGACCCAACCGGGAATCCTACATTTAAGGGTCGCGATTGGAATGATATGGATAATGAGATGTTGGTCCGAGGTCGGTTTCAATACGGTAGTGACAGGCTACGGGGAAAGTACAATAGGATGAAGCTCATACATAGACAATTTGGTCAGTTATTGGCTCATACTGGAGTTACATATGATTCCAGTCGGAATGTTGTTCATGCCACAGAGGAATGTTGGCAGAAATTTTACAAGGTGAATATTTAATTTAATAAGTTCTTTAAATGATATATTACTAAGCTCTTTATATGATTCCAGTCTTTAATTTAATTTACAAGGTAAATTTTACATATTTTACTAAGCTCTTTAAATGATATATGTGTACTACAAACATGCAGATGAACAGGGGCTTTAAGACTTTTAAAAGGAAGGGCTGCAAGAACTATCCGTTAATGAATCTTGTTTTTGGACAAGGGAGTGCAACTGGAGGACTTGCTACTCCTTCCACCCAAGTACCGACACACTCGGATGAGGAAAGAAGGAATGAGGATGTATTCTTACATGGTGAAGGGGGCATGAGCTCAGAGAGATCACACTCAAAAGGGAAACGCAAAGCTGAGGAAGCGATGGGATCAAGCAATAAGGACTGGAAAACTGTTTTGGCGAATGCGGTCCATGCATACACGACAACAATGAGTGAAAAAGAAAAGAGACGTCGATCTCGAGATGAAGATGTAAGCACCACATCTACAGGTGCAGCGGGAAACTTTTCTATGACCCGATGTGTTGAAGTCATAAATGCTATGCCGAATGTGTCAACCCGTGCTTATAATGATTCCATCGATGCACTTACAGATGTTGTCCGACGTGAGGCCTTTATGGCTATGCCCGCAGACCGACAATTGGATTGGGTTATGAGATTTGATTCGAACTAGTTAAACTGTGTTTGGATTTCATAATCTATGTTATATGTTTTATGTATTTGAACTTGAACACTTTGTTAGAACAATATTTATGTATGTTTGTTTGTGGAATTATTGAAAGTGTTTGTTACGTATTATGTGATTATGCAGTTGTCTCTCACATGAAGCATAAATGTTATACGCTATTGCAGATACACAATGTCACATAATGGCAGTGGTGATGATATTTCAGACTCTGCAAGTGATGAAGATGATGAGTTCGGGGCCCTACTGTTAATGACTACATGTGTTTTAGTTGACGTTGAAAGAATTCCATGTCGAACATCTTTACTCACAGGTAATGGTTATATCGATGAGTTAATGACAGGTCATCCCCTAAGATGCTATGAAAGTTTTAGGATGAACCCACATGTATTTCTGCGTTTATGTGAAAGGCTTAAGAATTTGGATGTTCTACATGATTCAAGATATTTAAGGGCTGAAGAGCAATTAGGAATAGGTCTTTTAGTGTTATGTCAAGGGGCGGGGCAACGTACATGTGCAGAGCGTTTTCAGCATTCAATGCGAACTGTTCACTTATGTGTGAAGCGTGTGGTAAGAGCACTTGCACGATTGGGAAAAGAAGTTATAAAGCCGATTAATAGGGGCCCTGTTCAACCGGAAATTTTAGAGAAACCCAAATGGTATCCTTATTTTGAGGTATGTGTATGCATAATTTCCTTTTTCAATATTTAGGTTAACTCATACTACTAATGGTTTACTTTTTTTGTAGAAATGTGTAGGTGCCATTGATGGTACTCATGTAGCAGCCTCAGCACCCGCTTCCAAACAAAAGACGTTTCGCGGTAGACATGCAACGGTAACGCAAAATGTCATGGCAGCCTGTAATCATGACATGTTGTTTACATATGTGTACGCGGGTTGGGAGGGAACAGGCAACGACTCTCGAGTATTTTTAGATGCAATTACAAGAAGCGAAAATGGGCTGCCTATGCCTCCTATCGGTAATACAATAATTATGCAATTTGTGCTAATAAAGTCACTATTAACGAAAATGGGTTCCTATTGTAAATGTTGTTGACTTCATTATAGGTTATTACTATGTGGTTGATGCTGGCTATCCAAATGTTCCGGGTTTTTTAGCCCCATACCGTGGAGAGAGTTATCACTTAAATGATTTTCGAGGCCGAGGGCGAATACGCAATAAGCAAGCTTTATTTAACTACCGACACTCATCCGTGCGTAATGTGATCGAGAGGTGTTTCGGAGTACTAAAGGAAAGATTTCCCATTCTTGACATATCACGTGGTTACCCATTGAGAAGACAAGTTCAAATTCCCATTGCTTGTTGCGCATTGCATAACTTCATTCGCATGCAAGATAGGAACGATGATTTGTTCTTGGAGTACGAGGAAGATGATATGATAGTTAACACGGAGGCAAGTACAAGTGAAAGTGGATCGCTCGAATTTGATATGTCTCAACAACAACAAATGCACGAAATTCGAGAAAGTATTGCAAATGCGATATGGGATGATTATAATGTTTGAGATGTCGAAGTACAACTGTTGTTATGATGAACATGTCACTTATTGCATTTTCAGTGTTGGGGAACATTTTATGTTATTTTTTTTTGTTATTTCAAATGTCCCTTTAAATGTGCATTTCTCTTTCGAAATATTAAGTCAACGTTGTCTAGTGAAAATGAAATGAAAAATTGAAAAACTCTGGTAAACATGTTTTCTGATTTGGAAAACAAAAAACTGGAAAATGAAAACAGAAAACTGAAGGCTTGAAAACAGAAAATGAAAACAGAAAAAATTTTCTGTTAGTAAACGGGCCCTCACTGTCTTATCCCAATAGGAAATTATGGGGTATCAAATTTTTTATTTTGTGAAGGAAGCCGTTCAGTATGGCACCAATATTTAATTTTGCACGGCAAATTGAGCTTTGGCCGGCACTGAAAACGAGTCCAGATCGGCGGCTTAAGGCCATGCTAGACGCATTTATTTATTCTTCTGGATTGTTGGACTTTCAAAGTTTTCAAGCATAGTACTTTCATAAAACTTTTATAATTTAATTAGATTCATCCCCCTTAACTTTTAATTTTGGGAAAACTGTCAAATAAGTTCTCGAACTTTCATAAAAAAGTCAATTAAGTCATTCTATAGGAACTTTGTCCGGTCGTCGCGATTTGGGGCGGTTCCCAGTGGAATTTTTTTATGAAATATTTTGAGCATCTTATTCATCAAGTCTAGCTTACTCATACCAAATTTCAGCTAAAAATTTAATCGGGAGCGCACATTCAAATTAATTCGAGAACGCAAAAATGCGCAATTATCTTCAAGAATTAATTTGAATGTATTCCCGATTGAATTTTTAGCTAAAATTTGGTATGAGTAAACTAGACTTGGTGAATAAGATGCTCAAAAAATTTCATCGAAAAATTCCACTGGGAACTTCCCCAAATCGCGACGGCCGGACAGAACCTCCTATAGAAGGACTTAATTGACCTTTTTATGATAGTTCGAGGACCTATCTGACAGTTTTCCCTTTAATTTTCAATATATATATATATATATATATATATATATATAATCTTACATAATGTAATATTTCATTGAGAGATTTTAAAAGAAGGAACATATAAAATAATTTACATAACTTAAACAAATAAACAATCGAATAACTCATTGTTTAAGATTTAGGATACTTATTACCAAGTATATAAAATTTCTAGATTTTTAATGTTTAATTGTCTTTATTAGATAACAAGTACTAGATTCCATAAAATATATATCAAACGATATTAAATATCAGACACTCTAATTACACAGTTTTTAGATCACGTGAAATGAATCCAAAATATAAATTTTTTTTGACACTAAATTACATAATTCATTTACTTCTTGCTTTCTAAAAATAATTTATCACGTAGATAATACACTTCAAATTATTATAGTATTAATACTAATATTAAAATATAATATGCACCATATGTGTGTGTGGTGCATATTATTCTAAAAATAATAATCACATTCGTACTACTATTGTAATATTTAGAAAACTTCTCATGAGTCATGACTCACGAACACCCTCCTTAGTAGACATAAATTACAATTCAATAACCGATTCATGAGGTTAAACAATGTAGAAGTTGTTTAATACTCTGTAAGTATTGGTTGATGTCTTTGTCATCGTCTAATTAAATTTAGAATGTAATAGATTTAAATGCTGTTGGGGATGTGTATGTATTAATGTCATTTTTTGAATAAAAATACCCCCATAGCCCTATAGTAGCGAAAAAAATCGCTACACTACACTATGGAAAAAAAATTCGCTCCACTACACTAACGAAAAAAATTTCACCCCTTACACTAGCGAAAATTTTCGCCCCATTGACTCGAAATCATGGATCCGTTCCTGCAAATCAATAACAACAATAACCACAGGCAGTCAGGCAGACCCTCGTGGGAAATGAATTAATTGTTTGTTAATGGATTTTTGTTACGCATTTCGTTCGTGACAGCTTTCTTATGAATTTTGTCACGCAACGTTTCTATCACATGGAAATAATTTTCCGCTGTCTCGGATAAAATCACTGCCTACGTACTTTTGGACTTCCGCAACAAAGTTTAATTTGCCTAACACAGCGGCGGACTCAGAAGTTTTCCGAAGCAGGGGTACTCCAACATAGATGAAAATGGGTCGGGTCGGGTCGAATTAGGTGTACCATTGGTCTTTTTTGTTAAGTGCGTTCAAATTAATATTTTTAATTGGAAATAGATTATACAATGCCGACATCAAGGAGTGAACATATATGGATTATAAATCTAATTGTGAACTCATTAAGACAATTCTAAAAAATAATATTTGACTATTGGAAAGAATTACATATTTTGACGTATAAGAAATGACTCATCTTTGTGCAGTTTATGATTTTACATTAGAATTTTCGCTATTTTTCGTACTATAAAATGATCAAGATTTCATATTTGAACTAGGATCATGTCGTTGTTATACATTGTGCCACAAAATTTGTTGGTACTTGAATGAAATATAATTCCATCGTGTTAAAAATGAAGTATAAGTCAAGTTTAGGATTTTATCATTTAGTACAACTTTATTTATTAATATGATTCTATATATATATATATATATATATATATATATATATATATATATATATATATATATATATATATACCTTTTACGAGTATCATATTATAGAAAAAATTTAAAGGATTTGTCAGTTTGAAACTAATTTATCGCGAATTGATACATTTTTTCATGTATGGACTTTTCATGTTTGAAACTTAAAAGACTTCAATCTTTTAAGTTTATCCCGCATATTAGAACCTTTTTCATATTTTTGAAAATAAGCGAAAATTCTTACTACAAGTGAAAAATCATCAATGCCACTTTTCAAAGAAAGTGCAGTAACCATATAACAACATATCTAACTATAAGAATTTGTTCCATCACAACTTCAGAGTTGTTTATATTTCTTACTACAATTAGGGGTGGGCATGGGTCGGGACGGTTCGGGATTGGGGTTATCCCGGTCCCGTCCCAATTAATAATAATGGGACGGGACGGTACGGGACAAGCCTTTGTCCTAGTCTTGTCCCAATTAAATCGGGACCGGGATGATTCGGAACAGTTCGGGACGGTTCGGGACGTCCCAAACTAACAAAAAATAATCATTTGTAACTAATATATATTAGCATTTCTAAAATATCATGCACCAAAATATTAACATTTTAAAATTTAATTGATGTTCATCACAAGCTAAAAGCTACTACGTATTAGATTTTAGTTAGGTTTAGCAAAATTTGAAATTTAAATATAAAACAAAGCAAAAATGAATTAGTTTATTCAAAATCATGTGTTCTAGTTGTGAGATACTCATATGTAGATATATAAAGTGAGGTAAAAACTTATGTTAGTAAACATTTATGTTAGGTATTATTTTTAATTTAAAAATTGGGCTTGAAAAACTAAAAACACGTTATCATTTATTTTTTGAGTTGACTTTACAAACTAGTCACATGCTACAAAATCTATATAGTTATTACAAACGGGACAATGGGACGGTTCGGGATAACATTCCAATGTCCCGGTCCCGTCCCGTTTTAAACCGGTACGGGACCGGTGCGGGACAAAATCAATGAGACCCAAACGGAACGGGACAACACCGGTACGGTTTCGGGATATACCGGAATGGGACAACGGGACCGGGATTCTTGCCCGCCCCTAACTACAATTATTATATGTCTTTGATAGAGTCCTATATTTATAATAGTTTTTTGAAATAATGACAATGTGATTGAATTAAAGATAGTGGACAAAAATATGACCTAGGTACTACCATAGCAATTTTAGTGACTATGATTATGTTCATTAGTTATATTCTGGTAATATTTATTAAAAATACTCTAATTTTTTGCCCGGATAGCAGGGGCACAATTTTTATATTAAGAACTAATACTAAACTTCATGGTCAGAAACCGGGGAACTTGCCCCCCTAGGCCTCTCCCTAGGTCCTCCACTGGCCTAACATGCTTCTGTTCAACTTTTGAATTCTTGAGATCAAATATGTTTAGGTAGTTTCTATGGTACCCATAAGGTATCATACATTTGTCCACATGGACCAATGAAAAAGTAGTAATTGAATTATTTAAATCTAAATTAATAATGATAAAGTGATGTGATCCAATTAAATGAATAGTAGGTACGATATCCCATTTTTTTGAAGAGTACCGAAGTTGTCACTTTATAATTTGGGAATCAAATATGGCTATGTTTAGATGATGACTGTTCATTCAAAACGGCATTTTAATTACACGTAAAACGTGGCTAATTGCAACGTTTGAAGGCCATAACGCCGAAATACAAACGACTCTTAGAGCATCCACAATGCCAATAAGTATTGATCCCCTCCTCTCTCTTCCACATCATTTTCCACATCATTCTAACCTATCATACTTTCTCCCACTATGGTGACCTAGGTCACTTAAAATTTGTGCATTCTCTCTCCATATTTTTGGTATATTCTACAATTATTAATTTATATAATTTGATAAAGGAATATAAAATTCACATTTTACTCACTATAATTTATTGTTGAGATTGTATCTAGTTAGAGAAGGAGTTGGATCTATTTTCAAAGAAAAAAATATTCTAAAACAGATAAAATAAAATGCAAGAGGGAAAGAAATGATAAATTTCGAAGTGACTAAACATATCCTTCATTGGTCTATATTTATAGAAAAAAAATATCTAATTTTTTGGTGTAATCGTTTTTTACAATAAATTAAATTTAATCAATAATAAATGAAATT